AAAAAAAAAGAGAAAAAAAAAAACAAATCCTCCGCATTACTCTATATGCATCCTCCTGCAAAGGGGTCTGTCCGGGCCTAGTCAATTCTTACGGCAAAGCCTGCTGTTCTGCGAGGGCAGGTTGCCCAGGATGTTCTCGGACATCTCCCAAAACTCGGAGCCCACGGCGTTCTGCGCGTAAAAGACGTCGCGCGGGTCGTACTTCTTCTTCAGCTGCAGGGCGCGCGGGTACTTGGTGCCCCAGAAGGCCTGGGTGAAGTCGGGCTCGATGTAGTCCGACTCGGACATGTAGGCGCCGGCGCCGGGGGAGACGTCGCGCCAGCGCTGCATCCAGTCGAAGGTGAGCGTGTCGCTGGCGGCCTTGATGACGGGCTCGGGCGCCGCGGGGTCCCACATGGCGGCGGCGATGCAGTGCATCACCGTGTCGCGCCAGGCCGAGTTGACGGCGGTGTCCGGGTAGCCGGCGGCGGGGGCGGCGTGGATGTTGAACGCGATCACGTAGTTGCCCTCCTCGACGGTTGACTTGATGGCGTCGAAGGTGGCGTTGAGCTTCGCCTCGTCCTCCCAGTTGGCGCGCGGGAAGAGGCGGCTCGCCTGGCGGATGAAGTTGGAGCCCCACGGCTCCAGCGGGAACGAGGCCGCCCAGGCGTCGCGGTAGTTGTCGAAGTCGCGGAAGACGGGGCTGTAGTCCACGCCGATGGCGTCGAAGCGGGCGAACAGCGGCGCCACGAGGACCCGCAGCTCGTCCGAGGTCATGCCGGGCGCGAACCAGGGGCCCATGTCGAAGTAGAAGGCGCCGGGGCCCATGGCCGTGAGGCGGAAGTACTCGTAGTTGGCGTTGTCGACGGCGTACTCGACGAAGCCCTCGAAGAAGGCGCGGATGGCGGCCCAGAACTGGTCGGCCGTGACGGTCGGCGTGGTCATGAGCTCAAAGGTCAGCGTGCTGACGTGGATCTTGGGGTAGGCCTTGACGGTGACCGAGGTGACCACGCCGTAGGTGGAGCCGCCGCCGCCGCGGAGGGCCCAGAACAGGTCCGGGTTCTTGGTCGCGCTGGCCGTCACGAAACGGCCGTTGGCGAGCACGACCTCGAAGGAGAGGACGCTGTCCGAGGCCATGCCGTACAGGCCGGACAGCGGGGAGTGGCCGCCGCCGAGGATGTAGCCGCCCATGACGCCCACGGTGGCACCCTCGCCGCCGACCACGGTGACGCCGTGGCGGTGGGCCGCTTCGTAGAGCTCGAAGGCCGGGACGCCGGCGCCGACCTTGAAGGCGGGACCCCGGTAGCCGCCGTCGGCGCGGTGGTTTTGGAAGAACTGGACCTTCCTGAAGTTGTGCGTCCAGATGGACAGCGAGCCGGCGCCGGTGGACTTGGCGCCAAAGTCGTGGCCGGTGTTCTTGACGACGAGGCGGAGGTTCAGGTTACGGGCGAAGTTGACGGCCAGCTGCACTTGGGCCACATTGCGGGCGTCGACGACGTACGACGGCAGACCGCCGACGCGGCAGTTGGTGGCCGTCGGGTCGAGGGCCTGCGGCAGGCAGTTGCCGCCCTCGAAGAGGACGGCGTTGATGGAGGTAGGGTCTTCGATGTGGATGTACGAGTTGTTGATCCAGTTGGCGCTGATGAAGTTGCACCTGGCCTGGTCGAAATTGCCAAAGTCGTCGTAGCAGACCGACGCAAAAGGCACCGTCTTGATGAGCCTGCCGCCCAGGAGAAGCTTGAACACGTCCCAGCTGAGCTTGCCGGGGTAGAGCAGGTCGCCCGGGTAGGTCTTGCAGGGACCGAAGAGCGTCCTCTTCTCGAGGATCGAGTTCTCGTCGTCTTCCTCGTCGTCGAAGGAGAACAGGCTAATGTTGGACAACTCCAGTTCGGTGAGATTGGCAAGGACGGAATCCGTCAGCTGAGCCACCTCTTCCGGGAACAGGGTGGTGGACTCGGGAATTTCGACGGCCTCCTCGGCCGGGGCAATCGTGACTTCATCGGCCGCTGCAAAAGGAAATCAAAAACGCGGGTCAGCACGATGTGAACTGCTTTCTCCTGAGACCTGTGCTTCTCCTTCCTTTCTTGTTTCTTCCTTTTCTTGCTGGTTCTTCACTTCGTTTCGTCTTCCCTTCTTCCCCTTCGATAGTTGAACTTACGGAGCGTCTCGCCATCTACCACAATGGTCTGGGCGAGGGCCAGGTTCTGGTGGAGAGCCAAAAGGCTCACCACGGCGAGGCCCAGTTGCTTGCCAAACATGATGTGCTTTTTTTTTCCTTTTTTTTTCCTTCCGAGATAAAGGAGTGGAAGCATGCAGCTAATACTGCAAGCGGCTGGAAAGGGAGATGGTGTCGAGAAGGAGGCGCAGGTAGTTTATATAAGATCAATGAGCTCCGTCCGCCAGTCCGTGGAGGTGGTGGGGTGGAGAGATCGACCCCGTTACCCGACAAAGGAGGATCAGCTTGAGGTCAGAGGGCAGTTGGGAGTAAGAAGAGCATGTTGGTCACAAGAATTGCGAACATTGAATGTTTTGGCGCCGGTAAACGGGAAACGGGAATGGCCGCGCAGCAAAGCCCGCGAGTTGGTCAAAGTCATCGTGTGTCTGGGTCTTGCGATCGATAGGTAGTCAATAGTAAGGTGGTACTATGCAGTATACAGACACATCAAGTCTCGGGTCAAGGGGGTTGGGTTCTTGGCTCTTTGTGGGGGACAATGATGCCCGGACGGGGCATTTCTCACGGATATAATGCCCGCATTCGGTATTGCTATGTTGTACATACGTTCATGGCATGGCGAACACATATCATGGACAATTATAGTGATATTGTGTTCTATATTATATCGGTTTATTTATTGAACTGCGGTTTCTTGTTTGGGCATTGAACGTCCTTTTGCATTATTGTACCACACGAGGAAATGGGGGTTGTGATGCTGTAGGAAAAAGGGGTCAGACTTGGTGCTATATTTGTCCTGCTCCCGTTTCACTTGGACCTGCGATAACTACGTTGTACGTTGTATGTACGTTGTAAGGTAGCAGTGCTTTGCTTGTGCTAATAAACAACTAATTATACCAGTGCCGATGTTAGTACCTTACCTACCTATGTACTGCATAATATACAGGCCCCAGCTCTGCGCTTTACCCATTGAGCTACTCGTACATAGGTGCATAGGGGGTCTGTGTACCCCATATCGTTGTACATCCGCATATATCATATTCGTTGGGTACCTTGGATGAGATTGTTTCGCCTTCTTCTTTTTCCATGTTCCTTTTCTTTTCTTTCTCCAGGTTCTGGCTTCGTACAAGGTTATGCAGATATCATGAGGCTGAAGGATTCGGCTGCTTTGTCCATGTCCTTCTGCATGCCAATGCATGTCAATGTCAATTGGGGGCCGATGGGTGCCAGTGGGGGCCCAGGGGCACGGTTCAAGCTCCGCTGCAGGTAGACAGGCGCAGGGGAAAAGGGACTCGGGGACTCGGGGACTCGGGGACGCTAACATGAAGATTTCTCCATAAGGTACCGTATGTATCTTCCTACGCAAACGAACCCCCAATTCTGTAGGAGAATTCCGTCATGCCACGCTAAGGTACTCAAGTGTACATACGTGCACCCAGCAAGAATTACGAAGCAATTACGAAGTACTAGGTACGGAGTTTCTTCGATGAGCACATTCATCATGGGCGAGGCGAGCAGACTAATCAAGATGTTTCAGTCCGTGGCATCCGGAGATTTCCAGCCTTCCAGGGAACATCACAAGTTTTGCGCCTCTACCGTCTCTGTCGTTTCTTTGTCTCAATTGTCTCTTCTCATGACTTCATGATCTTGGGGTCAACTCTCCCTCGTTAATACAACCTACCTCTCCTCTGAATACCTTATATGTACTGAACCTATACCCGGTCCCGTATGTTGGTGGTATACCTATGTACAACGTGTTCTTCAACGCAAACGTGCACTGGCCCTGGCGCTGGGGGCCAATTCTGGGTCAAGATATGTACGTTGTACAGGAATCGAATATTACTCCTTACCCTATATACCTACTTTGTACGTCGTACTCCTTGAGTCGTTACCTTGCCCTATAACGAATTACACTAAGGTACCTACTTCGCACTTGTACCTGCGGTATCCATGCTTCTGGGGAGCCTTTCTCAGGTTGCGGTGCGGGTCCTTGTTCATACTACGACTCTAACTCCACGGGCATGACCCCTTATAAAATTGCTTTTGGTCCTCGTTACCGAGTTTGTAAAGGTATTCTGTAACGTGTATGTATGTCCTACACGTACTCCGCCGCTTTGACCTCCGGGCTCACTCTCACGCCATCAAAGCCCGTCGTCGTTCCCGGTTCTTGGGCCGCAGAACGCCACATGGTTGATCCCTGTCTCGATTTCAGGAGATCGGTGACGCCCCCTGGATGGGAAGGAACCGAGGTACACGTGTAATTATCCGCGATAGCTGTCGTGCTCCACTCTACCCCTGTTCTCTCGGCTTGGGTTTTCCTGTACACGTATATTATACATCGATGAACAGATTCGGCAGCTAGATCGAGAGATGAAATTGATAACCCAATTGATCGGGTCGATAGCCGATATATGGCAGTTGGAATAATAATTACTTTGTACTTCGTTAGATGTCTGTCGGCAGCCTCACGCTGAGGGTTACTGTCCACCGCCAGACATTGAAGTACACGTATTCTACTTGGTATTCGTGAGAACAGAAATGTCAACTCTTTTGATCAATGATGACCATCTATATCATGGGAGGGCCCAGCCCCCCGCGTCTCCTTATATACGAAGCACCTGAACACTTTTGAGGAATGCTGCTATCAACTAATACCAAACTAGAGTCCGGGATATTTTCGCCTTCATTCTTCCTAGTCTTCTTCAATTTGTTTTTCCTTTTTTTCCTTTTTCTTTTTCTTTTTCTTTTTTTTTTGCCCGGGGCCCGCTCGCCCGGCACTCGCTTCCGAGGGAAGCCAATTGTCTACTAACCTAGTTTGCTAAAATTATACCGCTATACCTTCCTCTTTCTCTCTGGTTTCAGTTGGGTCTTACCATCGCATCGTGAACCTAAGGTACCTAGCCCAGGGCAAGGTCGCGAGTTGTACCTTGAAGCTTAGATAACCGTGCAAAGGCCGGCGTCCCATCGTAACGCTGTTAGCTCGCACCGGACACTGACTGCAGTGGCTCGCACTAAACAGAGCGATCCACCGGGTGACCGGGAGTCCAATCTTTCAAGCTGTTTCCGTCTGGTCTTTCGCTTTGTTCTCGACTCGGTTGAAATTTGCCTCAACTGGGTGGCCGACGTTTGTATGCACGTTATACCCCTTTCTTTCACTGCATTTTCGCCCGTTTGTCTTCGGTTTTTATTCCCCTTTCGTTTGAGCTTGTTTCCTGGCCGACTCTTTCTTTCCCCTTCCTCACCATTCCATATATGCCTCACCCTTCCTCCTTACAAGTTGTCCCTTTTTAGCTTACTTACCACGTACAACGTAATCATTTTTGTTTCCCGCCTAAAACTACGCCACAAGTCAATATCTTTGTCAATGTTTCTGCTTCATAACCTCTCCGTCCCGTACATTCCACCTCAACGGCGCCTCCCGTGTAGTTCCCGTGCCTCGAATTCTACAAAGCAATATCTAACGTATCCCCTACACTATCTCCCTATCTCGCGAACGGACAAAAAGGTGTGCGGCAAGGGCCGGGGAGGGAGGCGACGGGCGGTACTCGCCGCTCAAGTCGGACATGGGGTTGCTCCCGTTCAGCCCAGGCTGCCTGCCCACTGCCCCAGCCCACCTTGAGCTCAGTCCTCAGTCCCCAAGAAAGAAAGAGCCGTGTGCTCTTTGTCTCCCAAGAATCCCAGGCCTGAAAGGCTGAACCCCGCTTGCTCACTTGCAGATACGGTGTAATTACCCAACCGGGGAGAGTCATTGAAAATCCACATGGCGTGCGTGCTAGTCCTCTCTTGCATATCATATACCCCCCAGGGGAGGGGATGTTACTCTAGTGCGGCGTCGCCCCGGCAAGTAACAAGGTACGCCGTACGTTGTACGAACGCATTTTCGAGGCAATTTGCCGTACCCAAGGGATCGATTTGCTTTTGCTTTTTGAACACTTTCCAGGGTCTCCGGGCTTTGTCTCGTTTCTTCGTCGACGCCACCTCCCAAACTCATTGGATCGGATTCTGCTTCGACGTTGCCCGTAGACTATTAGCGGTATAGAGAGAGACCCAACCGTAAAACCTGGAACGTTGACACCGTGCCTTTACGGCACCCCGTGTGCCGGGTCGGTAGTCGTTACAACGTAGTCGTGAAGTGGGCGGAGAACGAGGTTCCGGTTAGTCAGGAAATATCTGGCTCAGAACTTTAATTCAGACCACCAAAACTTCCTCCCTTGTCTCGCTTGTCTCGCTTCATACTTGACGGTTGACCTCCTTCATGGGGAAATACTTGTACGGACGCCTGCCCCGTGTTTGATACGGTCCGTTCCCGTCGTTTTGGTTCTTCCCTTCACTCCCCGAGTCGTCATATTTTGTTTTCTCCCTCTTTCCCCTCACGCATCAGTTCTCTCCTTTGGCGTCGACAGCGGGCACGTTTTGAGGGTTTAGGGAACACGTCGGGAAGAGAAAATAAGGTCGCATTCCGATATACACAGAAACCCGAGCATGATACCGGACCCTTGAGTTTGATCTTGTCGTTTCCGTTCCGTTCCGTCCCTTTTTTTTTCACCCTTCATCTTTTCGGGTTTTCTTTTCTTCTTCTTCGAAACACCTCGTCCAGCATGGCCCAGGCAATCGAGGCCGCCGTCAGGGTTATCGCCCGAGCCGCTCAAGCCCAGGCTGAGGAAGGCCCTCTTGCAGGACCTGGGGCGCCTGGAGGGCCTGCAGCACCGCCCGTTTTCACCGACGATTACGAGTACCCGTACTCGCCACTTCAACATGTCGGATTTTTCATCCTCTTCTTCTTCCCCGCGCTCGCCCTGATCGCTGTCAGCCTGCGAATCTACACCAGAATTAAGACGAAACAACCAGGATGGGGTACGTGATTGGCGGGAGGTGGCTGTTCCACGGACATGTACCAACATGAGAAGTTGAATCCGAATAACTAACTTGGAGAACCATTCCCTTAGACGATTTCTTCATCGTGTTGGCCATGGTAAGCTCTTCCTCTTTTCTTCTTCAGCAAACCCACCTCCACTGTGTGATGTTGCAATCATGGCGGAAAAAAGAAAAAAAAAAAAACCCCGGTTGGATAGCTGATGAGTTGCTTCCTTTCGATTTCACAGCTCGACTCTCTCGCCGAGACGGGAGCCTCCTACGTAGCCATGCGCAAGGCCTTCCTCGGTGTCCACGTGTGGGATATTCCTCCCCAGGCTGATCCGAGAGAGGGCCAAAAGTGGAATTTCATCATCCAGATCCTCTACAACCCTATCCTCGCCCTCGTCAAGACGTCCATTTTGCTCTTCCTGCTGCGCCTCGGCGGCCAGCAGCGTCGCGTCCGCTGGGCCATCCATCTCCTGAACGCCTTCAATCTTTCGCTCATGGTGGCCATCTTCGTCACCGTCATCTTCCAATGCACGCCCGTCAGCTTCTTCTGGGAGCAGTTTGGACCGGGCGCCGACCCCAACGGCAAGTGCATCAACATGGGCGCTTTCTACGTGTCCACTTCGGCCCTCAACGTCTTGACCGACCTCCTCGTGCTGGCTCTTCCTTTTTGGATTTTCCTCGGCTTGAAGATGCCGAAGCGGGTGAAGATTGCTCTCCTCGGTGTCTTTGCGCTTGGTGGAGTGTAAGTCGTCCCTTTTTTTTCTTTCTTTCCTTTTTTTTTTTCTTTTTCTTTTCGTCGTTTCGCATTCGCTCCACAAGGGTCGTCAAACTAACTCGGGGTATTTCTTTTTTTTCTTTTTTTCTTTCTTTTTTTCAAGTGTCACCATCATCAGTATCTTGCGTCTCGTCTGGATGATCGACGTCTCCTTTTACCCAATGGGCCCCGACCCGACGTACGACATCCGCTTCACCTACTCGGCCGTCGAGACGAACCTGGCCATCATCGCCGCCTCGGCGCCCGCCCTGCGCGGCCTCTTCGTCAAGTGGTTCCCCCGGATCTTCTCCTCGCTCAAGTCGACGCGGCAGCCCGGGTACGGGTACCAGGGCGGTACGGGAGACAAGAAGCAGTCGAGGGGCCACAACACGGGCACCCTGGGCAGCCACCTCCAGACCAACGGAGACTCGTCGTTCCAGATGAAGAACATGAAGAGCGGCGTCCGGTCCACCATGGGCGGCAGCTCCCCGACGACCAGCGAGGAGGAGATTATGCGGTACAACGGGATCATGCGCACCACGGACGTCGACGTCGTCTTTGATGATAAGAGCTCGGCTAAGGGGGAGGACGGCCGTGGGAAGGTGTCCGCGGACGATCATGAGTTGGGACCCAGGGTGTACTCGGCCGCCGATCGCAGCCGGGGAAGCTTATGATTGTGTTGACCACTTGTACACGTGTACGGAGTATCATCTCGCTTGTTCTCGGTGAGGGGAACTCGTCTTAGTTGGCGCCCCCCCCCCTCTCTTCTTTTTCTTCATCTCTTTCTTCACCCCCCTAAGATTCCTTGTTGGCTCTTTTGGACGAGATTCAGGACCCTTTCCACGAAATTCTTTTTACCGATTTAATGCATATATGGGCCGAGTAGCACAGTCAGACGGAGATGATGTTTTTTAACTTGACCCCTTATTGTTGTCTCAACCATTCTGGTTAGTGCACCGTTGGAGGTAAACAATGAGATCAACCGTCAGTTATGCGAACGGCTCCATGATGATAGAGATGATGTTAGGTTGGGGCCGCGAGAAGATGACGGGGAGTTAGGAGTCAGATCTATGAGTCGCTGCACGGCTTGGTCAGTTCTTTCCTTCTACAGTACTCCAGAGTCCATGGAAATCCCCAAGTAGGGTGGGGAACTGAATCTTTTCGTCCTGACCCTCGTCCCGTCCGGGGCATTGGCGAGAAGTCGACACAAGCCCAATGGTAGAACCGTAGAATCGACATTGGAGAGGTCGACAGACTCGACACGGCGCATTGTTGGCTCAACCAAACTCGCTCCTCCCTTCCAGACAGGGGTCAATATAATACCCTGAGCGATGGGGGACGCAGAAGCGAGCGCAGGAGAGGACAAGGGGAAAAGTGCGGAACCCAAGGGCATGTGCTTGGGGCCTGCATGGACGGCGTGCGGTGTACGAGGCTACGAGGTTAGGGAAGGGGGTCGTGATCGGAGTGGGGGACGCAGGTACGGACTATAATGTACAAATACAGTCGTGTGTCCCTGCGCCAAGCGGTTGCATTGTGCATTGCGGAGAGTGAAGTGGAGGCACTAGGAAGTACCCCGTGCATATACAGTACCACACGGTGGGATTAACTGTGGACTCCATCGTGATGCTCCACGCTCCGACTTGAATCCAACTTTGCTTTTTGCGCTGTGACCTCGCGAAAAGGAAAAGATGAAAAATAAAACAAAGTAAATAAAATAAAGTAACCGAACTAAATACTCCGTAACCAATTACAAATAAGGAATACGGAATATCTGAGATAGATAATTGGTAGACGAAAATGGCAATTTGAGACGGCTTGAAGCAAACATGAACGAAAATGGACCAGCCGCCAGCGCATTGACTGATGGAACGAACTTCAACTCCCTTGACCCCGAGCATTCTGCGTCGCATGGATTGAAACGTTCCCCAGTTTCGAACTCCGAAGTACCCGATTACCCTTCTCCTGGGGTGCCACGTGGTATCTCAGTATGCCGGACCAGAGAACCAGCGTTTGACGGTATCCCTGAGGCGATGGTGTTGCTGCGAATTCTGGCTGGTGTTACTTGGCCGGCGATCGATACGGTTGGCCATGCCAGCTTCGCCGCTGGTGGGTTGTCGCGTCGTGGCCATTCGATTCTTCATCCCTGTGGCAACATGAGTAAAGCACGTCGCGCGATGTTTTGATTCTTTCCCTTTTTCTTTCCCTGGGTTCGAAGCTCTCCCCCTACTTACCCGAAGTATCCGTCCTCAGTGGGTTGTCGAGGACGGCCTGGTACTTGGCCTTGGCTCGTTCTGCGGGCGTGGACATGGTTATGGGCAGTAAGACGAGAGTTGTTTGTCGAGGAGGAATATTCTGTCCTGAGCCCAGATAACAGAGGGCAACGATATGTGTCTCATATATGAGGTAGGTAATTTATTTCAGTTGAAGCCTGCAGCCTGCAGGGCGAGCAAGCTATTGGGAGCGTCCATCCCTTTAGGAGGCAGGCAAGTTTGTCCATAGCATCACGCGCATGATCTGTGTCTCATCAGTCACCCAGCTACATGTACTCGACTCCTTACTTCCCTCGAGAGTTTGGATTTTAGCTCCGGTGACTGCATAGCAGGGTGGCGTTAGGGGGGTCGCGGGTCCTGTGGTTGGTTGCACGAGCTGAGGGGTAACCACCATGAAGTGACAACCAGCATCCATGCTGCATCATCGTGTCGTCAAGGGAGGTAATGGTTTTACCAAGGTACTTACCATACCTCGCAATTGCTGTATTAATAACCTTACCTTACAAATAATGTACCTTAGGTAATAGTGAACCCATCTACCTTATGAAGTAGACGGCTCACTTGCATTGTTCGACTCGGGGCGGTGACCCTCCGAGCGAGCTTCTCGTTTCTCCTGGACTTCCACAGCCTGCCCTGGCCGACATCGCTCGGCCGAAACCACCCTCTCCTTCATGTAAAGATCATGCACGCCATTTCCGACATGTACGTCGCGATATATCCAAACCGACTTGCCGCTACTGCCTTTACCCCCGGCGCCATCACGTCTCCCATTTAGCGAAGAAGGCCGCGCCACCATGGCCCGGATGACCTGCGCCTCGGCAACAGGCCCCCCTCCCGGGATGACCACCGTATTGGCGACCCACGCGGCCCCGAAGCCCAGAAGCAGCTGCAAGCCCAGAGCGAGGAACAGGATGACGTGGATATAGTTCCAGTGCTCGACGTGCAGCTCCAGCCCTACCGTCGGTACGTCCCCCGGCACGACGACCATGTCGTTGCTCTCCGCCGCCATGGCCACCACCCCGATGGCGAACCGGGACAGCAGGAAGGCCATGCTCGACGCAGCGCCGCCCAGGGGCATCCCGAAGATCGACTGCGCGGGGAATATGACGGATTGGACGCCGGGCGACTCCGTGGTGGTCAGGTTGTTCGGGTAGCCCTGCAGCGCGATGGCGACGGTGGCCATGCGCCCAAGGTTCTCTCCCACGTGGTGCTCCTCGCGTTCCGCGTTCTCGACGGTGCCGATGGTCGTGTTGCAGCTGTAAAACCACGGGTATGTGTCGGATGCCTCGAAGGCGGTGACGGTGCCGCACCCACGCCCGCAGTCCGCGCCGGTGTCGGTGATGAAGGTCGTCTGGTCGGGTCCCGCCTGTGCCGGGAGGGGAATGATCCGAGCCTGGTCTTGCGGGAGGAGAATGGTGATGTTGGCTTCTGTGCCGCCTCCGCCGGATACGACGGGCCAGCTCGTACACTCTGTCGTGGCATGGATGACGCGATTCGTGGAAACGGTGATGGGTAGCGCATCGGGGTTGTTCAGGCTTTCGGGGTTCGTCTCGTGGAAGACGTACTGGCAGGAGTCGGAATCCGAATCACAGAACATGAGAGGGTCGTCCGTGTACCACAGCTCGCCGGGCGTGGGCATCTTCGCATCGGGGAACACGGCGGTGTCATACGCGAGGGACATGGTCCCGAAGCTGGCGCCGTCAGTGTTGTGCTCTCATCGGCCTTATGATCGACCGATTTGACGAGGTCGCGTTGCGTCCTACCTATGCGCGGTATATTGTTGTGCTCTTCGCGAGGTAGAAGACTTGACAATCTTGGCGGTCTCAATGTCCGAGACGTTCGCGATGGAAACGTTGCCGGGAGAGAGCAATGCCACGGACTCGGAGGGCTCGAACGCATAGCATAGGTTGACGGAAGCGAAGCCGATTTGGGAGGCCTTGGTAGAAGCGTGAGTATCGGCCCATTGTATTGCACATGTTCGTCATTGGATCGAGAGAAACTGGCATCTTAGGCTTACAATGAGGAGGAGAATCCAAGAGGCGACAGCGACGTGTATAGAAGCGCGGCTGGACCGAGCCGACAGCATGATCACCCGTCTCACGCTATGAGCATGTAGAATGCTCTCGACCTAATGGGAACGAGACGACAAGACACTCGTCAAATCAACACTTGGACATGAGGGGGATCAATGGATCATGCCCAGGCAAACCCAGATGACAGGTCCCCCAAACCAACAAAAGGCTGCTCACCTTCCGCCGCGATCTATATCGACGACTGAGAATCCACCATCTCAAGTCCGTGGCCATGTCTGTGAGAAGGCTCGCAGTGGAGAGGCCCAGTGCAATGAGCAATCCGGTGATGATGGCGTTGAACTGCCGCTTCTGGGTCTTGGTCACGACCGACTTGCTCGAGTAGCCAATCAGGACGGCGTACACGGCAACGACGAAGGCGGCACTTGTTGCCCATGGGACGAGGACTCTGAAATAGGACGCCTTTCGTGGTCTTCTCGTCGCAGCTAGGCCTTGGAATTGGTGGGCGGCCGACCCGGTGCCGTTGTCGCCGTTGTCGTTGCGTTGTTGCATCGGACGCCCGGCCAAATCACACACCTCGTCATGCTGTTCGGACTCCGGCTGCCGCTCTGCATTACTGTTTTGAACTTTGGATATGCTGAGCGTCGCGGTAGGCTGCTGCGGTGTTGTGTGAGTGTGAGCGTGAGTGTGAGTGTCGATACTCGGTTCGGGTTGCGGAATACGATGATATTCGAGAGACGTCATGACGACTGTGGTGAGATGATAATAAATCGAAGCGCAGCCATAAGAGCCAGGTTGTCGTTATTTCTTCATTATTTCTTCTTCTTTTTCCGTTTTGGCCAAGGCTTTGGACTTGGACTCGACTAGCGAACATTGAATCGACGCAACCGGCATGTTGGGCTGACATGTGGATGTATAGGGTATTATATGACTCTGTTGTATCCCATCATGTGCGCATACGGGACCAGAGACGGCTGGGTACGATGTACGAATATACATCATGGAACCGGCCTTCAGAGTATGTGCCTTCGATGAAGAGGTGTCAAACGGGAGATGCTGACATCGAATCGACGTGAAAATACCTTAAGGTACATGTATACCTACCTTAGGTAAGAAAATAACTTGAACTGAAAGTGAAGGGTGGTACCGCTAAGCTTTTTTAGTCCCTTGGTTACCTTATCTTATCAGTTGACGATCCGTGCATGTCGCGAGCCAAACGGCAATTTGACCAGGGTGCTCCAAGTTGTGTCTTACCTTATTAGGTACCTCACCTTGTTAGCGAGGAATCAAGCTCATCTCCTCTGAAATGAGATGGCAATAGCAGCAAATCAGACAAGCAGGGGATCAACCCGAGTGGTCCGGGTGGGCCGACACAAATATAAGACGTATAATTTGTATGTAGACGAAGAAAAAATAGCTACGGAGAAAACTGTTTCCAATTATTGAGACCGACCCCCCGTTTCGCTAGCACTTGTTGAGAAAGGGGCCAAAAAAGGGGCAGCTTCACGATCTCTGTACTCTCGTTTTCGTCGCTGTTCTCCCCTTTCTCCCCAGCCAGCCCAGCCCTCACTCTCAGGCGCCCTTCAACCTCTCTTATCACTGTCACGTACTCCGTGCGACTCCGTGCTCCTAGCCGCGCCGCGTCTCTTCATTCACATGCAGACGCGCCTATCGCCTTTCCTCCATTAATGGATATTGCCTCTGCCAGTCGCCCCAAGGTCATCCCCTTCCAAGGCGTAGCCGATTCTGCTAGCGACGAGGATGACGACGTCCCCAACGGCGACCTACTACCCCATCATCATCACCATCATATCCAAGCTCATTCCCATGCTCGCGTAGCGGGGGATAACCCTCGTGGTCTAGGACGCCTGCGATCGCGTGTTCGAGGTGAGCATAACCTTGCCAAGTTTTTTTTTTCTTCTTCTTTTCTTCTTCTTTTTTTCTTTTTTTTCTTCTTTTTATTCTTCTCCCTTTTCTTGTTTTACCCCCCCCTCCTCCCCTCCTCTGCTCATTTCTCTCTGACCCCTAACCCCCAGATGGCGTGCAACGCGCCCTCGACCCCTGGTTACCAATGAGTCCACGTCGGTCACACGCCTGGACGCGTGTGCCGCAATCTGAAGATGGAGCGGGGCCTTTCCCCCCGGACCGGGAACGTCCGGGTCTCTCCACGGCGACGTCCGGGCCCGCTCCGTCCTCCCCCCCGCGCCACCGAACCGGCTTCCGCGCATTGTTGCTCTCGTCATGGGTCAACGCCCTTCTCGTCTTTGTTCCCATCGGCATCGCCAGCTACTTGTCTGGCATGAGCCCCATCCTCACCTTCGTCACCAATGTAGTCGCTATTGTGCCGCTATCGGCGCTGCTCACCGATGCCACCGAGCAGATTGCCAACGATGCCGGCGACACCATTGGTGCGCTGCTCAACATTAGCTTGGGCAATCTGGTCGAACTGATCATCTTGTGAGTTCATGTTGCGAATTGAGGTCTTTGCCTTGTATATATATTCTCACTAACTGTCTTATCCAGTGTGTGAGTGCACGACTCGGACCAACTTGGACCACTCCAGCTCACATTCACTACCCCCGTCCCATACTGACGTCAACTTCCCAGTGTCGCTCTCATCAACAACCATATCCGAATCGTCCAAGCATCTATTCTTGGATCCATCCTCGTGAACCTTTTGCTCATCCTCGGTTCTGCTCTTCTCGCCAGTGCCGTGACGGGCGGCTCATCGGCCTGTCATATCTCCAACACCCAACTTCTCAGTTGTCTTCTCTTGGTCTCCCTTTTCGTGTTCCTCATGCCTGTGAGTTGCATTCCGCTCACCTCTTCTCGAAAAGAAGGATCACCTGGCACCAGAACCTAACGCGCATTCCCTTAGACGGCCTTCGATTATACTTTTGAACATTCGGCCGGTGCCGACGTAGCCATCCTCCAGATGAGCAGGATATCGTCTCTCATGGTCTTACTCATCTACGTGCTCTACTTTGTCCACGAGCTCAAGACCGGCCCACTATCCCAACCACGGCCCCCACCCCAGACCGGATCTCCGGACACCGGCTCCGACGAGGAGATGAACGCCCCGCAATTTCAATGGAGGACCACCGCCGTACCACGACCCCAAGTCCGAAGCCGGTCCAACACCCTACCCCCGCGCGTCGTGCGCTTCGCAAACACGAACCAAAGGTCCTGGTCCGACAATGCCAATGCCGTGCAAAGCGAGACGCAATCGCAATCGCAATCGCAATCGCAATCGCAGTCGCAGTCGCAGACACAAATGCAAACCACCACCGAAGAAATCGAGCTAGAAACCCTCGGCAACACGTCCCCCCTTCAACCCACCCCGGCCGACGACCCGGACCGTCCCAGTCCCGGTGGCCCACCGCCATCCTCCAGCCGTCCACCCGTGCGCATCGCCCACCGGCATTCCGGCTCCTTATCCTCCATCACGCGCTCCCACCCCTTCGGCCCCGGTTCCATCCCGGGCTTCGAATCCTCCTCCGCCACGGCCCTGATGCGTTCCGGCCCCACGACGCTCCAGATCCTCCGCGACAACCGCGCCGCCGCCGCCACGTCCGGGGACGGCGGCTTCGGCAGCAGTTCCGGCGGCTACGCCTACGAGCACGCGACGGCATCCCGGCCGCACGGGGCCCGCCCGACGAGCGAGCGCGTCAAGTCCATCATCGTGCTCATGGCGGCGTCCGTCGTCATGTCCTTGTGCGCCGAGTTCCTGGTCAGCGCCATCGACGACGTCACGCACCAGGGCCACCTCTCCGAGCCGGTCATCGGGCTCATCATCCTGCCCGTGGTGGGGAACCTCGCCGAGTACATCACCGTCGTCACCGTCGCCGCCAAGGATAAGCTGGAGCTGGCCATCGCCGTGGCCGTGGGGTCGTCCATCCAGATTGCCCTGTGCGTGACGCCCCTGACCGTCATCGCCGGCTGGATCCTGGACCGGCAGTTGGCGCTCACTTTTAATTTCTTCGAGATGGCCACTTTGGTCGGCTCGGTCTTGCTGGTCAACCTGCTTATATTGAATGATGGGAATAGTTCGCTCAAGGCCGGCGGACTGAAGGGAGCGTTGATGTGTACTTGTTTCGCGATTATCGGGTACGTTTCTTTTCTTTTCCTTCCGTTCTCTACCGCCTCCGTGTAAGGCGTGAAAACTGACGTGGACTGTAGACTGGGAGCATATTTGTCCCCTGAATCCAAGGCCGATTGATCCGGCTTGCACTGAACATGTATTTCCTCCGTTCTGGACTGAGACATGGCGTTGAAGAGACCGGATTTATGTGTGGATGTCAATAGACTAGTCTTTGTCTCTTCTCATGTTAATTTTTTTTTTGGGGGGGGGGGGGTTTCATTTTTCATTTTCTTTTCTTCATTTTTTTTCTATCATTTTTCTATCATTTCTTTTTTTCTTTCATTTTTTTTCTTTCATTTTTCTCTCTTTAATCCAGTGGCAAGAGAGAAAACGGGCATGAATGGGCAAAGGCGACGCATATTGTATCCACAACTCACTGTATCATGAAGACACTGCATTATTGTAGCTTCCCGTGTCCAATGCAATTAGTGGTGACACTGGTGTCTTGAATAATTGCAGCAGCTAAATGCTTCTGGCGTATAACTTCAGGGGCAGCCATTTTCATCTCAGCCCCTGTCCCTCCGACTGAAATTGCTGGAGGAATGGCATCCCTGGCACCTTGTGAAATCACCTCGTAATCCGACGAGTCGCGTGGCTCTCGGGCCCCTGTTAATAATATTTTTATTTTCATTTCCATTTTCATTTTCATTTTGCCCGGTCTTATTATTCTTACGTCCGTGTCCGTAGTGCCATCTTCCCCCCCGTCAGCCCGGCCAAAGAGATAAAATGTCTCAAGTCTCACCTCCCCAGTGACAGACGTTTCCTTTACTCTTTTCCATCTCATTAAGTCCATGTCCTCAACTGTCGGACTTGACAACCCTTTGCAACAGCCTTACTCTGGCCATGGTCCACCGCGCCGCCGCAGCCCTGGCCGTCGCCTCGTGGGCGGTCGTCGGCGCCTACTCCCTCGGCAGCTTGATCCAGTCCTTGCCCGCACAGGATCCTGAGCAGGACCTCTTGCTCCCGGGAACAGACCATGCTGTCCGGGCAGTGTTCACGGGCGTATTCGCGATCGACGAATTTTTGAGGGGGGTGATCCAACATTTCTACCCGATCGTGGCTGGGCCATGGCCCGGCCTGTCCCTCTTCGCGGCCAACTTTGCCGGCCAGATCGTCCCCATGGTCAGTATTGTGGTGCTGGAGGGGCTGAGAGTCGGAAACCGCAATTCCATATTGTCCTTGTGAGTGTGCCATTCGAAATGCACGCAGTCCGCCCTGGGGGGACGTTGAGCCTTCGTTTCATTTCATTTCATTTCATTTTCGTTTCATTTCTTTCATCTTTTCTTTGTTTTCTTTTTCTTTTTCCTGTTTTTTTTTTTATATTTCATATTTTATATATATATATATATATATTTGAGGGAGAGAGGGAGGGAGAGAGGGAGGGAGAGAGAGTTGAGAGAAAGGCAAAGAAACTGACAAGAAACCAGCCCTGCCATTTGGGGAATTATTTACCAAGCGCTGTCCGGAGCCGTCATCCTTCCCATTTTCCTCGCTCTGAGCCTCTTGAGGTCCCCCCGAGGTGAAAAGGCAGACGACAAGTCCAAAGCGGCGAGTTTCCTCCCCATGGACCCGGTCGCAGTTTCCACAGTCCCAGCAGCACTCGCTATAGGCTTCATCCTGCCCACGCTGCTCATGGCCCTGCCCTCGCCGAACATCATCACTCTCGACCAGCAGCAAATCTTCATCGCACTGTGGCAAGCCTTCCCGTTGCTTACCTCGGCCGCCCACGCCGTCCTCACAGCGCTCGCCCGCGCTCCGGGCGGCGGGGCAGCGGCCGACAGCAGCCCCATGGCGGCGGCCCGGTCAGCGTATAAGCGCATCCTCGCCATCACGGGCGTCACGCATCTCGGCTCCCTCGCCATCGCGCTGTGTCCAGGTATCCCGGCGGCGCTGTTCGGCGTGGACATGGGCCGGCCGACGCTGAGGGAGATGTTTGTCCCCGTGTCGGTTTTCTCGCCCTTTACCGTGTCTGGTCTGGTCGAAGCGAGCCATGCGATCTTCCAGTACGATTACATCGTTATATCTTCTGCTGCGCTTCTCTGGGTCACGTTCCTGTCCCGGAATGTCACGTCGACTGTTGTCAAGTTGCTGGCGAGAACGGTCCTTGTAGGGCCTTTGGGAGCTACACTGTGGGCTGTGTGGGATAGAGACGAGGAGGCCATGGCGGAGGCGGAGGCGGAGGCCGTGGGACGGAAGACCCAGTGATGGTAGGAAAGTATACCAGGCGAGTGAGGGAGGGGAACGGTGGACGATCGTGTTAGTAGCTGGTAATATAGAGAAGCTACGGAATAGCTCCAGCTGCGAAACTACCGAGTAAGGTAGAAAGACAGTGACGTGTTGTATTTTCCGAGACACGGTGGGACTCGTTCAGTGGCTACGGTATGCCCGGGATCGAGACTTGCCCATTCTCCAATAAAGGCCACTGTGCCTGAGTAGCAGGCAGGTATAGCTCGTCAGAGTCGAACAAGTCCTTCCCTCCCGTCGTTTTTATACTTTTCTTAATATATCTGTACTGGGTCTGCTGACGTTGATACCTTAGTACCTTACAGTTCTAATAATTCGACACTGTGGTGGGTTCCGATGTATCCGGACCTCTATAAGTACGTACCTTAGATAAGTGGTATGACATGTACTGATAACTACCTAAGGTACCTATAGTATACCTAATTACGGAGGTTACAATCCTTCGGTCAAGTCCGTGCCCTTTACGTAACCGTAAAAACTACATGTACAGTCTATTCAACATATCGGTGCTCTTCTTATTCTTCTGGAAATTCACCGAACCCACCATGTTAAACGCCGGGTAGTCCGGGGATTTTATGGTGGATGGTGGGGTCCCTTGTCCCCCATGATTCACGGCGGAGCTGGGCAATCACTTTGGCACCTATCACGGTAAGGCGCGAGTCCATTCTACATGAATCCTTTGTACCCAGGGAGGAGGTCGCTCAGAAGCCCGCTGGACCAGGCTAAAACCCCCCCCGGGGACCTTCATCACGGTTATTTTCTCCTGTTTTAATTTCCTCCCTTTCACCGCTGCTCTCCTTACCTTGGACTCCGTCCCCCGCGTCTTACCCCGTGTTGTCCTCCTCTGCGCGTCCTTTTTGAACTTCACCCCTCTCTCGGCCACACGCAACCTACCTACCGGTACCCAACTATGGCAACGGATGCTGCAACAAACGGGACCGCCGGCCTCGCCGAGCCTGTCCAACCCGTGCCGTCCAACATGTCAACTCCCGACATCGGCTACCCGCATGGTCACTTCGGCCACCTCACCGATCACCAACAGTCCCAGCTCATCGCCTTCAAGGAGCTCCTGACCGAACGCGGTCTCTACAAGCCCGGCCCGCCTGCATCCCATGACGATCCTCTACTCCTGTACGTTCTGTTCTGCTTCGCCGCGCATCCCCATCCACCCTCCCCATTTCGACCAAATCTATACCATGTCGTCAAATGACGAAACTAACCCGCCCGTGCGTGTCTTAACGTTCCCTTTGGCAGCCGCTACCTACGCGCCCGCCGCTGGGTCCCCGCCGACGCCGTCACCCAGTTCGCCGACACCGAAGCCTGGCGCGCCGCCAACCACATCGACGTCCTCTACAACACCATCGACCTGACCGCCTACGACGCCGCCCGGCGCCTCTACCCGCAGTGGACCGGCCGCCGCGACCGACGCGGCATCCCCCTCTACGTCTTCGAGGTCCGCCACCTCGACTCCAAGGCCGTCGGCGAGTACGAGAAGCAGGGCAGGGAGGGCGGCACCTTCAGCCACGCCAAGACCGACGGCAACACCCCGAACGGCCTGCTGCGTCTGTTCGCCCTCTACGAGAACCTGACCCTCTTCGCCATGCCTCTCTGCACCCAGCTCCAGGACCGCGACCCCGCCAACGTGCCCATCACCATGAGCACCAACATTGTCGACATTTCCGGCGTGAGCTTGCGCCAGTTCTGGAACCTGAAGGGGCATATGCAGGCCGCGAGCCAGCTGGCTACTGCCCATTATCCTGAGACTTTGGACCGTACGTGCCATTTGCTCCTTTTTTTTTTTTTTCGCTTCTAAATACACAAATACACACGACATCTAAATTGACTCCTCACTTCGCGCAGGCATCTTCATCATCGGCGCCCCCGTCTTCTTCTCCACCGTCTGGGGCTGGATCAAGCGCTGGTTCGACCCCATCACCGTCTCCAAGATCTTCATCCTCAGCGAAGCCGAAGTCAAACCCACCCTCGAGGCCTTCATCGATCCCCGCAACATCCCCAAGAAGTACGGCGGCGAGCTGGACTTCGGCTTCGGCATGGACCCCGTCAATGACCCCTCCTGGGAAGGGGTCCTCGAGTGGGCCAACGGTTACACGGCCTTCCCGAACGGTCCCATGGTGTGGCGGCCCACTGCGGACGGGAAGAAGCTCGAGTGCATCGGCATCGGGTCTGAAAACGGCAAGAAGAGGGACGTGCCTATCTGCAGCCTTCTGCGGACCTGGCCTGCCTCCGAAAATGATGCCGCCCCCGCGAAGGCCAACGAGGCGGCGGAGGCGGGGGCGGAGGCGGAGGAGGAGGAGGAGGAGGAGGAGAAGACGGCAGAGTTGACGGACGGCGTCCAGGGCTTGTCCGTTTCGGTGGACGAGAAGGAGAAGGTAGCCGCGCAGGGGACTGCTGCTGCTGCTCCGTCTTCGACTGTGTCATGAGCGAGAAAGGGGGAGGTCATGCATATACATGACAATCTAGACTGCAGGGAAGAACCATATAAAGAGCCAGGTAGTGACGAGAGGAAGGGAAAGGGGGGGGGGAAGGGAGGTAGAGAAGGGTGGTGATTACACATGATTGTACATACGTTAGAGCACGTGGAGCAAACTCGAAGTGGCGGGACCAAGAGGACGCGCTGGTTGGAATATCGCTGGAAACTTCTTGCATAGTCGTCGGCATGATCATTATATATCCATTATACCCATAAAACAGAAAAGAAGCCACTTTGCTTGCAGAGTCCTCCGGGTCTTTCTCTTCGTCTCCGCATGTCCTTCCTTGGGCCCTTCTGCTGTCTGCGCCGGCTAACAGGCAGGTCTAACTATAGGGTATACATCTTCGCTCAACGAAGCCCTTTATGAAGACACTTCACTCCTCTTCTCTCTAGGTCTGACCGGCCCTCTCTCTTCCTCCCCTTCTCCCTGTATGTTTCTCTATTTTATATCTATTTCTCTTCATATCTCTCATGCATGCCCTCTCCGCCGCCTCCACTCCGCAACGCCCTTCCCAATCTCCACCCACGAAGTCCCGTCGCGTATAAGATACATGGTGACCCCCAACCCTTCGGTGTCGCGGTTGCGGCTCTCGTCGTCAAAGAAGAGCATGTCCTCGTACGCGATGCCAGTGCGGCGATGAATTGCCTCGAAATGCCGTATTTTGCTGCTGGGGTATATCTCCAGCCCCGCGTCGAAAAGCTCGACGGCCTTCCGGGGTTTCTCTTTCTTGCTCCGCGCCGACGAAGACGTGGTGTTGGCTTGTTCTTCGCTGGCCGAGGGGAGAGCCGCAGCGGGGGAGATGTGGAGCATCTTGAGGAGGTCGCGGGCGAGGTCCGGGGTGTGGGTACGTGAGGCGACGGCGAGCTTGATCCCCGCGGCGCGCGGCAGGGTGGCTAGGATGGAGGGGACGTCTGGGTAGAAGGTGTAGGACTCGCCGTGGCGGTCGGTCGCGTAGGTGTGAGAGGCGTGGGGTTTGAGGGGTGGGGAGACGTGTGTGTCGATCCAGAAGGGCCAGAGGGTGTAGTCTAGGTCGAAAACCATGAGCTTGGGAAGAGGAAGGCCATCTTGGAGGATGGACGGGGTCGCGCTGCTACTGCTGTTGCTGCTGCTGCTGCTGCTGCCTTGGCCTTGCCTTGGGTGTCTGTTGGGCATGGCGGGGCTGAAGAGAGGTCGACACGCCGAGCAGGGGAGTGGAGGGGACGGTACGAGGAGAAAGGGACGAATAGAGGCGGTCCCGGGAGAGATGGAAAACGTGAAGACGGTAGACAGGTAGACGGGTCAGATGTTGAGAAGTGTTGTCGGCGTTGATGTCGCCATTGAAGACGACGATGCCGGCCTTTGCCTCCAGATACGAGGGGGTGGGGGGTCCAGGTTGGGAGGCCTTCGGAAACCCCTGGAGGTACGTAATTTACATGTCATGTGCCCATTGTTGAACAGACCGTAGTTTTACAGTTACGTAATAAAGGGCACGGACTTGGACGAAGGATTATAACCTCGGTAATCCAATCCGGGCGGTATGGCCTGCTAGTTGTTCCGTCTCCGAACGAAGCTTCATTCGGCTTATCTTAACCCCGACTATTACGTAAGGCACGGAGTAGGTTGTACGCTCGGCTTACCACAACCCGAAATGCTGACTTGCTGTCGTCATTCCCTGTGATTTTTCCTCTCCGTCAACAGCCACGTCCATTAATCACAATCACCTACAAGCACAGCCATCGTCGCAACGGAACTCGGAACCTCGGAGCACTGCCCAATGAGATTGTTCAATTGTACTGCCATGTGCAAAGTTATGGAAGTGTCTCAGGTTGAAGCTGTGAGGTTCAAGCTCAAACCCTCCAACGATCTCTTGTTGGTAGCCCACATTCAACCCTTCCCAACCGTCCTAGGAACCATTCCCGACGCTCTCCAGCCTCTATCCATTCATCTCTGGTGACCTATACCTGTCGATACCGATGTAGGCTTCCAACATTATTGTCACCATGGCCTCTAGCGGAGGGTGGGAACGGTCCACGGGGTCCATTGGGACAGGCTGAAGCTGCCGTGGTTGCGTTCGGTGCGCAGGATGGCGGTGGTACCACCACCCGACTGCAGGAGGAACTTGTTGATAAAGGCGGTCAGCTCGGAGCCCTGCTTGCCGCTGTTGAACGAGCAGTGCTGGTTGCCGCCGACCTGGCTGAAGCCGAAGGCGTCGAGCTGGCCGAGGGCCTCCCACTGGGTGCGGGCGGCGGCCATGCAGCCGTAGGTGGCGGTCCAGCCCAGCCACTCCATGTCGGAGTTCTCGATGACGTACAGGGCGCGCGGGGCGATCAGGCCGGCGAGCTGGTGGTGGTCGAAGGGGAGGGCGTCGACGTTGTTGGCGCGGGCGTCGAAGGCGGAGCCGAGCCAGACGTTCTCGGTGATGATCTGCGTCGGCGTCTGCACGTTCTGGCCCTGCTGGCGCTGCCAGTTGGAGAGGCGCCAGCAGGCCGAGCCGCCCGAGCCGGACTCCTGCGGGATGGTGAGCGCGATGCGGGGCTCCAGCGCGCCGGCCACCATGGCGCCCTTGCCGTTGCGCGAGCAGCCCGTGACGCCGATGCGGCGCGCGTCGATGCCGACGGCGGGCGTCCGCTCGATGGCGTCGATGATGCGGGCCACGCCCCAGGCCCAGGCCGTCATGGCGCCCGCGCTGTGGCCGCTGCCGTACAGGTCGTAGAACCTGCCGCGGCCGCGCGAGCCCCGGTCGCGCTGCTCGGCGATCTCGTCGTTGTTGAAGACGATGGTGGCGACGCCGTTGGGGACGGGGATACTGGCGCCGCCGTACGTGATGATGGCGGGACGGTTGTTGCCTGCGTTGGTGACCCGGGCGCTGAAGGAGATGGAACGGCCTTGGTCTGACACGGTGATGGACAGCGTGCCGCCGCTGTAGCTGGCGGTCACCGACTGCGGAGCGGCGGGGAGCTGGCCGAGTTCGTATTGCTGCAGGAGCGCGCTCACCTCGCGCTGGCGGCAAGTGAACTCAGCCGCCGAGGCGACCCTGGCACCGTTGTGGAACGTGAAGGGGTCCGGGAGCCTCTGGTTTGCGGATCCGAGGCTGTTTGGGAGGGCAGGGCAGGCCGCACTAGGGGGAGGCGGCGGAGGGATAGGCGGGGGGGCAGCCGTCGTGGTGGTGG